CTTCTATATGGTGAACATTTCTATGAAATTTCATTAAAATCCCTCCATGCGTGTAGGAGATATGCTCCGGACAAAATCTGGATATTTCATCATCTTTAGTGACCTTGACCTTGTATATATTGACCTAAATTATATGTATCACAGCCATAGTCTTGATAATGACCATTTGTGTTACAAATCCCTCAATAAATGATGACTAAATGGTCCATATACACACCTTCATATTTTTATCTGAACTTTGACCTCTATGTGTGACCTTGACCTTGGCCGCAAGGACCTGAATCTTGCGCGCAACACTCCGCCTTACAATGGTGAACATTTGTGCCAAGTAATCCCTATATACATGTGGAAGTTTTGCTCTGGACAAGCATTTTTCAATGAGCTCTAAGTGTGACCTTGACCTTTGACCTGGAGACCTGGTTCATGTGCGCGACACTGCTCCTCATAGTGGTGAACATTTCTATGAAGTTTCATTAAAATCCCTCCATACATGTAGGAGATATGCTCCGGACAAAATTGGACGCCGCCCGCCAGGGGCGTTCCCATAATATGTCCCCTTTTTCAAACGGGCGTATAAAAACTAGTAGTAATTTCAAGGAATACAAAAATATACAGACACTTGTACTATTCTCTAAAATGATTATAGATTGACATATAATTTTTTGGAACATGTTGCCTATATGTTGTTTTTTTTCAGGGTGAAACAATCAGTAACATATATAAATACATCACAAATTAAGAAAATGTTTCCTGTGTGAAAACTGGAATACATGAAAACTCAAAAACAATTTCAAGCAGTGTAAAACAGTTTCAGTAATCAAACAATTTGACATCAGTCAGCTTACATGTACTAATTGATCAGTTATAGTTTAAAAACACTTACTTGTTAGCGCTCATAATATCTCCTAACTTTGAAAAATGTGTATTATTTGCTGTACATGTCTGAAATTAGAAAAAGGAGTGATTTTCACTAAAACAATATTGCATACAGCTACTGCAAAATAAAGCAAACAAAAGAAAAGCAAGCTGTGCTCATCATATAGGAATGACCCTCACTAAAATCTGTCTATAAATATCAAACAAAGTTATATATTTGTAAATTCCTTAAATATTGAAAATTTGAAGTTGAAAGTCGTCATTTAAATGTTCAGGTTATATTTCAATAAGTCAAAATGAAAATTTTGTCCAGTGGTTAGTTGTAACAGATCCAAGTATTAACTCTCTATAAAAACTCTTATATAAACTTTACCATGTTACCATGCACTGAAGTAATACTGGTTGATGTTACAATGCTAAATTGAAATCTCTACTAATTATTTGTGCAGCTATTTTTTCTAGCATGTCTTTTCAGGTTATGCTTTAATTCACACAGTGACATGTAGAAAGTGACAAGGGTCCATGGTTATAAAGATATTTTCTAAGCATCCATAAACGCTTGGGAACTTACTAAATGTGGCCTCCTTTTTAATAGGGTAAAACTTCTGTCAGTCAAGGAAATCTAATGATTGTTAAATATTGGAGTCATATTCACACAGGTGAAATATCAAGATCTTGTAGTTTGACCAATTTAAAAGTATACTCACTCTAATTTGTGCTATAAGGTCTTGTTGTAGTTTCTCAAACACTTCTTCCCTGTCACCAGACAGCTCACATTCCTCTTTAGACACCATTACAAAACTTGGATTGTCTTCATCAGAATCCAGTGATGGTGGTACCTAAAATAAAATATCTGTTTTACTTCTTTTAATTGTTAACCTGCTGGAACCAAATGAAATTAGCACCAGTAGAGCCAGACCACTATCCACATCCATGTAGTCTAACCATCCCAGCTCTATACTGTTGCCTTACTAACTTTTAATTTTCATCTTAATATCCCTAAAAATTTATGATAGATCTGGTACTAGGTACACTCAAAATAGAACAAGCGGGACAAACGTAAAAATAATCAGGTTATGGCGGTCAAAGGCAACAACAACACACGCTTGCATAAAAAGGTATCAAACATGCGTAACCACATTGTTAAATATTGGGCTGCTTAGACTTTACTCCATTTGTGACACAGCTACTGTTCTTATATAAAAAATTAAGTAGGTACAAGAAAATAGAGAGTTCTCCCTTTTTTAAGCAAGGCTTAATATGACAATATCTGCACTAGTGTAGCAAACCAAGTCTTTGAAACCTTGCCAGTAAATAGGTTCAACAGTATGTAAAAAATAAACATGAAAACTTGCAAATACAAAAAGGGGTAAGTAAATGTTAAAATCAATGGCATAGATATGTACTCTTGCCTGGAGATGGTAGTGAAAGTCATGAACAAGTGTTCTAAGTTTCAAAGCAACATTTCAAAGGGTTCAGTATATGATATATAGTGGTTAACAAAAACAACATAACTTTCAAGGTACCTTGCTGACATGGACACAAAAAAACTGACACCCAGTTGTTAATAAAAATGTCTCACTAAATATATTTATATAAAATCAAGCTAAAAACGGAGAGAAAACAATGCAAGGGACCTTGTAGCTTATTAAAGTGAATGTAAAGTCCATAGTTTGAATCACAGTTCATTTCACTTGTAAGTCTGCAATACCTTTTTGCAACAACAGTCAGACCTGGGGATGATTACATTGATCAGTAATTGATTTAATTACAATTACTTTCTGATTTTATTGTAATTGATTACTATTGATTACTCAGACTTACCTCTGTAATCAATTGAATTACAATTACTCTAAGAGAGTAATTGATTGATAATTGATTACATTCAATGTAAAGTAGAATCCCTACTAATGACCATACCTGAATTAAGACCACCCCCTTAATAAGACTATTTTTTACAAGGTTCTTTGTGTCAACTGTTACATGATCTAGAATTAAGAACAACTGCTTATCCACTTTTAAGACTACCTAATTCAGTCCAACTTCTTTGCTTTATTCTTAATTTAACTCGACTATTGAGACCACTGATATTAAAGTCAACACATATCTAGATCTTAAATTTGTTGTTATTATCTAATTGAATGCTTTGCATGACACTTAATTTCACAAGGTGTGAAGTAATAGTTACCGTACGAGGAATAGGTCTGCATAGTATTTACAGACCCGGGTGGCGATTTGAAGACCGAGAGAGCGTAGCGATCGAGGTTTTTAAAAGGCCACCGGGTCTGTAAATACTATGCAGACCTATTCCGAGTGCGGTAACTATCTTACCTACATACTCTTTTGTTTTTCTATCCATACATCAGTTTTTAGCTCAGTATTCATTAATATTACTCACAAGAAACATATTACTTATATACTTTATCATGTTTAAGAAAACATTCCAAAGCCAAGCAAAGATACCAACCGCTACGCTCTTGTAATTCATTCGTTTACAAATCAGGTGTTATTTGAATATTCTCGTGATTTTCGTGGGGTTTCATTAGGTAATGTACTTGTTGAGTTCAGTCACAGAAAATGAAAACAGAACTTGTCGAGTAGGAAAAAGGTAAGATCATTATTTTGATATATGAATACATAACATATTAATAATATAAACAAATACTGAGGAAGATAAAAATGTTTTCTACCCATAAAAACGGATCACTTTATCTTTATATATAATAAATTTCATGGTAAATAGATGATCAGGCTATTTCTTATATAATTAAAATATACAATTTTTTCAAAGGAAAGTAAAAAAACGGGGTTCTATGAATAAATATTAGTAGTACATGTATTTACACCGTAATGTAAGTTGGGTTTTGTTGTTGTTGTTTTTTTTTGATGGCTGATTTTAAATGTTCTTAGAATTTCATCCATGTTTAGAAGTATTTTCTTTCCGTGTATTCTTAATTAGCATCATCCGTTATAAGACCGCATGTAAGCACGCGGTCTAGAATGGAAGCGCAAGTCGCTTTCATACAAAATCCAAATTGTAATGTAAAAATAACTGGGAAAAAATTAGAAAAAAACGGTCTTATACTTAAGATGAACTATACTCTCACTGAAAGTAAAATTTTGGGAAAGAAAGATGCAGAAGTTGACTTTGATTCGATATGCACCAATACTATAATCGTCGTATATACCCTATAATGCAGAATTGTTAAAATAATGCAGGATTGTGCAAATTTAGACAAAGTTGTGGAAATAAATACCGAAAACTAGTATCTTATGAAGCTATATAGTTCGGCCAATGCGTTAGGTATACTTTAAAGAAAGGCTTAATGTGCGTTGTTATACTCATTAATATCGGCGAAACACAAAACTTCAACGCCAGAACAGTAGCCAGTTCGTTTTTTCTCACAAATAATCTGGAATATATGTTATGAGGGTACTTACAGCCGTATGCGCTAATTTATTTCGATTAATCTTTAAAATATATATCGACCCATTTTCCTATTCAAAGTGGTCATTATCCCCCCCCCCCCCCACAATTCAGCTTTATTTTACGGTGAATATTGTGTACTGTAATGCACGAGTTTATCGACTTCACATATTTTCTATTGTATAGAGAACAATAGAACAATAACCGGTCGGTATCTATTTGCAGACCTGTTAACCGGTCGGTAAGTGATTTACTAGACCGCTTTTAACAAAGGAGCCGGTAGGTAAAAATTGTTATTATTGGGTTATTGTATGAAATAAGGTGAGAAGGTAAATTTTAGAGTGGTTTAATGTTGCTTCTAGCAAATTTATTTTTTGTGAAGAATTAATTTTTATTTGATAGGTGATTTATGTACATCATATAATAATTGATATTGAAATCTGACCAAAGAGAATTTCAAGTTAAATTTTTTTCAGAAATATCATTATATGTTTTCCTTTCTCAGATATCAAAACATACATTTATAGTGTCTTTTATATTGCGCTTGTAGCTTAAGATACATACTGTTGTTTTTTTCCAAACAAAATGACTAAAACAGACCATTGTCATAAAGTATGTAAGCAATGATAAGAATGTTCACAGTTAAGACCACCCCACAATTAAGACCATGTTGGTCCAGCCCAGATGATGGTCTAAATTAAGGGCTTTTACTGTATAAATGTAAAACAAAAGTTACACTGTATCATGTAAAATAATGGCATCATTTGAATTAAAATAGTTTCCTGTTAAATCTGAAAGTAATCAATATCAATCAAATTGTAATCATGATTACTGACAGAATTTTAGCTGTTGCCAACAGTTCAGTGTTACCTTATTGAGGTGAAACTTGCATACAAGGGCAAAGTGAGTAATCAATTAAGTACTCTACACTTAAGCACAGACACATGGGGTGTAGAGCTCAAAGCCGTTTTGAAAAAATTTCATATTTCAACGTCTATAAATAAGTATTATATTCAGTTTTTTTTTTATATGATCAGTACATGTGCTGGGATTGACAAATATGCATTTTATTTGGATTTTAAAGGCGTTTTGAGCTCCACACCCCAAGTGTCTGTGCACTTAAGTATAAAGCTGCAGTAATTGCAACAGCAATTTGTTTCATTTTTTCTCACATAAAATGTTTTAAAGAAATAATAATGACATGTATTCAAACTTGTTCCTGAATAAAATAAATAAGATATCACCTACCTGTGTAAGATCTACTGGTAGGCCACTCTCTGAGGCATCAATCATAGGTTCAAAACCCTGAAAATTAAGAAAATATGCATTTATTATTCTTAACAATTGACGTTCTGAATGTGTCCCCTGCTTTGAATTTCAAACATCTGTGTCCCCTGCTTTGAATTTCAAACACTCATGCAACATTTCAGTGTTTTCAAAAGTCAAAATCCAAAAATTGAGGTATCAACATTATATAGCCAGGTCAGACTACAGGGTTGCATGCCGGCCTGGCTCTATACTGTCAGAAAACTTTTGGTACCAGCAGGTTATAGGTGTTACAGCATGTTAAAAGACTATGACCTGAGCAATTTGAATACAAAAATCTTACAAGATTGTATGGTAAGAGTTTCAATATTTAATTCCATTACTTCAGGATTCAAAGCACAATGTTTTAATTCAGTGACAATCATACAGAACAACAGATAACAGTGTTAAATAAGTCAACCATTCTTAACTAATCACATGATTAAATTTTCACTAAATTGACAGTTTATTTGTCTCAGTGTGTTTCTGTCTTCTATAGAAAGGTCCTACAAACAGACCTTGCTAAAAAAAATTTCTTTTTCCTTTAATGATACAGTGTAACTTCTGAAAACCAAACACCCATGGGACTTGTCAAAAAGTTCGGATTTCAGAGGTTTCCGGAATTCAGAGGTTTCGGATAATGTGGACAAGACTAAGCCACTAGATGTCACTGAATGTCAAGAAAAATGTAGCCATTACTGTAATATCATAGATAATAGTCTTTTAATCAAGATAAAGATTTGAAGGAAAAAAAAAAACATTTATTTTTAACACTTTATTAATTTATTTACTGCAAATGCCTTTGAATTTCTATCAGTTCGTAGAAATGTTGTAAATTTTCATAAACTTACTTATTGTCAGATGCTAGTTAATTAATTAGTACATCAAATGCAATTAAATCCCTAAAGACGTTTGATGCATACATTGTCCAATTAATTGTCATTTAATCCCCTAATAAACCCTTCAAATTACCTGACCGCCGTAAATTATTTTAATCAACCGCATCAATTCAAACATACCATTTCACAGTTTGTGATTTTAATGTGTGTCAAATTACACGATCACCGCTAATTGGTAAACAATCGATAGGGGGATTAAATCTTCCTGAAGGGTAAACATTCGCGATTTACAATGTATTTCACACCTTTGGATATTTCCGGATTTTGGAGGTAAAATTGCATTGATTTGACTCTAATTTTACGAAAATATCGTCCAGAATTCAGAAGTTACGGAATTCAGAAGTATTATATTAATACAAAACAGAAGAGAAAAAAACGGGACTGAAAAAATTGATCGGTTTTTAGAAGTTTCCGGATTTCAGAAGTTCCGGAATTCGGAAGGTACACTGCATTACAATTCACATTTTAGGTATTTTTATTACATGTAATTGTTTCTTCTCAACTTATCAAACTGAACCACTGAAAACGGCACCAATTGGGCAAACCAAAAATAACCTAAGAATATAATAATAGAATTGTAATAACACACCTTTGCCATTCTAAGATATTGTTTGGCTAATGCTATATCATTGTTCTTCTTTGCATTAATGGCAGCCATTTTGTATTCCTGCATCCTCTCCTTCAAAAACTGTGTCTGCTGATCAGCTCTCAGTGACATTGTACGCTTCATAACTGAAATCATTGAAAAATACAAGTTTTATTGGTGTTTAATATAGTTCTGAAAAAATACTGGCCAGGATATTTATTGACGTGAATAACTCAAGCTTTTCAGATGTTTGGTAAATGAAAAAGAGTTAGAAACGCAAGTATAACATGGGTTTAATAACTCAAAATATTTTACTGGCCTTTCAAAAAAAAGAAAGAAAAAAATTTCTGTTATTTTAAAAGAAAGATTACCTTTATTTTATTTGATTACATTAAGTCAGTCATATTATTACCCAGAAATAATAATATAATTTGCCAATTTTAAAGTTCAGGCTGTTCCATTATTTTACATAAAGTACCCCTACTGATAAATTAAATTGCACATTCTTTCTAGGTATTTTACAATATACTCAAACTCTACGTGTAGTTCCAGATAAAATCAGATAGTCAAGAGGATGAAAGAAATAAAAGAAAATGTGAAAACTGAACTTATGCTGTTAATGAGATACTTTTTTGCATCATGTGTAAGTTAATTGCATAGTTGAAAAGAGAATTTAAGTCACTGCAAGCACTTAAAAGTCTGTGAGGTTATAATTACAGACTTATGCAATAAGATTATAAACCAGGCTAGCATTAAAATATGTGCAAGTCTATACTGTTGACTGATCAGTTTCAGGCCAGGCCCACCTTAACATCTGTAAAGGAGAAGATTGAACATGTGTGCAGTATTAACTGTTGACTGATCAGGCCAGTCTTAAGATCTGTACAGTATGTACTTTGGCTGCCCAATTTCAGGCAAGGCCAGCTTTAACAGATATACACTGGCTGCTCAATTTCAGGCCAGGCCAGAATGAATATATCTGTACAGTCTGAACTTTTGGCTGCCCATTTCAAAGCATGGCCAACCTGAACATCTGTAGTTTGGCATCTGAATTCCAAGCCAGGCCAGCTTGACCATTTGATGTCTCTACTGATACATTTCAATATTTTCAAACTGATATCCCTTAATGTCCATACCAAGAATCCGACAAGATATGTGTTAAAATACTATGAGTTGCTATTAATTCTTTTCTAGCTATGATAATGTCATATGGTTTGTGATGAGGTTAAACACACACTTCAATTATTACTGTCAAATGAAAAAATAAAGCCTGAGATTCCCTGTCCAACAAATGCTGTACAACATTGCAACATTTCAAAATAAAACCTTTTACATCACCTTCAGTAACTACTTATTTCCCTTACATTGAAGTTGCATGATTTGTACGTTTTAAAACAAGATACACAAAAAAGGTAGGTAAGAAAGTTTCTACACAGCAAAATGTTAACTAAAATAATTATATAGATAATTAGTTTAAATATTTTTAATTCAGCATGATTGTGAGGTAAGCTTAAAAACTTATCAGATACACCATCCACGCCATTTCCTGAACTGACCAGTACAGGTTGTCACATGAGGTTATGTGGTTATAGCCCCAGTTGGGCTCAAACCTATGAAATGTGGGTTGATAGGTGCTTCTCTCAAACAAAAAAAACCTTTTCTACATTTACAAGTACTTGTTCAATCATAATTGAATAAATCTGATTATTCCTTGAAAATATCACCGTTACCTAGTTTTTCTGTATCTGAATACATAAACTGTATTTGCACAATACACAAAATAAAACATGTAAAACATAAACACATGTGACAGCTGACACACAACATAAAGAAAGAGAAATATGACACATGTACTGTGTGTGTACAATACTTACACCTTTGCTTCTGAGAGACTGTATCACACAATAACAGTATTTCCTTATTAATTTTAGAGAATGTCATAACATGTAAATGGTACAGAATTGCTAGGTATGTTTTTTTTTCTCATGTGAAAATCTTCAGTAATACATGTACATGTACTTTGAATCGTGCACATTGTTAAATAGATTAAGCTTACATTTACAAAGCAAAATATTAATAAATGTCCATGATTTGATTGTTTATTGTTTTCAAACTTCAGTCATAGATGTGAAAGTTTTTATATACGAGAGTTATATTTCTTTTGATAACATGATATAAATTTCTTTAGCTTTTTGTTATAAAAAAAGATTTTTAATTTTATCATGAAAGATTACCTTTCTGACTACCATGGGCATTTTTCCCAGGTGATACATCACTATGAGCTGCAGCCTGTGGCTGAGGTGACCTTTGTGGCTGTGGGGACCTCTGAGGCTGTGGTGACCTTTGACCTGCCTGAGGTGACACTTGTTGACCCCTGCCTGCAGGAGCCTGTAATGAATTGTTGCTGGAGCTGGGAGAAGGGGCTGGTTTGGGCTGCTGAGCTGAAGCTGGGGCTCCTGCCGGACCAGTAGGAATTGGAGCATACCCTAAAATAGAAGTTCTAAACTATACTCATACTAATATACCATAAAACATATTATTATTCTGTATCAACATTGTTAAGGTTATACGGCCACTTTCCAGCTTTACTTGTGAAGAAAGGCCCCAGTAGAACCATCAACCTTCCATCAGGTAGCTGGATATCTTCTTCACACAAAAGAATGCAAAATCCTTGGCAGGATTCATGTCCTATCATTTCATATCAGTTTATTTGCATAGAGAGAAAAAAGAAAAAAACTTTTAATATAGTAAAATGTAAAAGAAATATGTCAGGCATGATCTGATGTGCATTTATACTCTAATCGTATCTTGACATTTACCTCTATGAAAATGTTTCATGAAACAAGAACTGTCTAAAATGCATGTGATGTGATTGCCATTGTACAGATTTTTTTTTTTACTTTATTTATTCACATCACTGCACTCTCTTGTTGATACACAGAATAAACTTAACATCATTGATTTAGAAAATGAATAATGAATAAAATAATTAAACATAAAACACTGTTCTAATAAAATGTCCAAACCTGGAGGTGTGGGTAATTCATCAAAATCGACTGGTTTTCCTGCTTTATGTGCTTTAATAGCATCCTGATATTGCTGAAATAATATAGGTTTATGATATATCAATAAAGGATATGAAATATGAAGATTAATTGAAACCTCATAAATGTAATCAATGTACTTCCAGCAGTTGTACCACATGATGTTCCACAAGAAATCAATACTGGATCAGATCTTATCAATTTAGACTTGTTTTCATTTCTTGGGCAAAAAAAAAATCCATATAAAATACATCTTGTACTCCATTTCATTTTCCAAGTCCAAAAATCCATATCAATTTGACAAAATTCAATAATTGTATTTTGTCAAGTCTTTTTCATTTTCTGATTCCAAAAAATATATATCATGCTCCAAAGAACAAAGCTTTGGTCAAGAAATTTTAAGAATTT